AAATTAAGCGGCAGCCTCATGGATCTTCTTTTATTTTTTTTTCCTTTTGTTACCTCTAAGGGACATTTGGGGGGACCAAAAGGAATGTTGTTCTTGATTTTAACTCTAGCGTTGTTTTGCATTTCTGATCCTTTTTAACAATTCCCTTCTATACGTGCTGTGGGCACACAAGGGATCCGGTACATTTGGTTATGCAAGGGCCCAAATCCTGTGTGTGGTTTAGCATCCTTTCCTTTTGTGGAAGACATTGCTTTGACTGGGAGGAAGATCCACGGCCTGTCAGAAATACTAACGGGGTGTGCATGAGCCACGGCCAATCTGCAAAGAAGGAATGAGAAATAACGGAGCCAGGGGATGCCCTTCAAAAACTGGCAGCGAGGCAGCGAGCACTCTGAAGTACTTACATAGCCGAGGATCTCCAATCCCAGCGTCAGAGGAGAGTTGAGTTCTCATTTTGTGAAACCTGAAATACTGAACCAAGCATCTAAATGTGCTTAGAAATGATAGAGAAGACACAGAAGAAGCCTCCAGATGAGGGCTAGAATCAAAGTCATGCCATCCTGTTTTAGAGCCCGAATCTGATTCCCTCCCCCCCCCCCCAGAAAACAAAAGTTTAGCATATTGAAATATTTCTCATGGGGTTTGTGTAAACAGTGAATATTCATTAGATGTCTCGGGAGAAGCGTGGAAAAGTGGGATGGGCAGAGACAAGGCTTGCCCATGCCGATTTAATGACCGGTAGGGTGGCCAGCCACAGTATTGTTTCCAGATGCCTCACGCTCTTCCCCTATGTAAGCTCCCCTCAGCATGGACCAGCAGTTCTCCTGGTGGGAAAACTCAGGCTTGTAAAGGCGGAATAAGTCACCCAAGCATATACGCCTTCGTGAACTTTGGAGTCATGGGGACAGGCAATTTTCATGCTTTTCTCATCCTTGCTGGACACCTCTGGCAACTATTCTCCGAGACCCCGATTGTAGGAAAATAATAGTACCTACCTACCTACCTACCTCAGAGACTGCGACCACCAGGAGCATTCTTGTGTGTGTCGTATGGGTGTATGCCCTCTAGGATGATGCCAGGGAGGGGAGCTACCGGGTGTGAGAATCCAGGGTGCTGTGATCATTGCCAGCCCCAGAGGTCCTCATACTGTTCAGATTTTATTAGTCTGGCAGGGTTAGCCTGTTGTGTCATTATACAGTTTAGAACATCAATTATGTCATTGCTTCCCGTGCAATTGCACATCCATCCTAAGCAGAATCTGCACAGCCATCCTATGTTTTGTATGACTCTATTGTAATTTTTGTAAGCATCCCTTATTTCTCCATAAATAATAACTCACAGAGATCCACCTGCCTCTGCCTCCCGAGTGCTGGGATTAAAGGCATGCACCACCACTGCCCGGCTTGTATTGTCTTATTCTGCGACAAATTCCCAGGAATGGAATTATTTGATAAAGGTATTCAGGGGAAAGAAACTTTCCATGTGTGGGAGGCGAGGCTTGTGATAGAAGGGGAACTGAAGAGTGTTAGTAAGGGGGAAGTTTGCCTTCCTCATTCCTGTCAGAGTGTAGGCCCTGAAATGGCAGTAAAGGCGTGGGCAGAGATGAAGAAGGGTCAGGTACTGGCTAGGGTCCAGATCCAGCGACTGTTATTTTCTCCCTAGTTCCCCTGACACATCATTGACACGAGCCCTCCTTCGTAGAAGACTTGCCAAGGTCGCTGCACCAATCCCGGCGCTCTCACTGGAAGGAGCAAAAGGTGTCGCACAGAGATGGGCTTTGAGTTTGATTTCACCCGCACAGACTTCGCTGAGTTCCGATTGTCCTACGTGATTCATCTATCACCGTCTCATTTTCCTCAGCGTGATGAGGGAGGGCTGTCACCTTCAGCTTACGGTGCGGGGGGGGGGACCAAAAGCTTTATAGTTAGTCAAGGGCAACAGCAAGCCTGGGACCCAGGCTGGTTATCTCCAGTAGCCAATCCTGACTTCCGGGAATGACCATGCCAGTGCCGGCGTGGTATACGGAAAAGATACGGGCAGAGTTCGGGGAAGAAAGAGACGAGCAAGGATGGAGGCAGCCAAGGAGGGCTCCACAGGCCTAGGCCATTTAAAACACCTCGTCGCCTTTCTTTTGTGGTTTCATTTTGCACCAACCTTATCTGGCCGTGCGAGCTGATAAAATACAAAGCGAGATCCATGGCACCATGCTCCTGGCACATAGCTCGTGCGCCCTTCATCTTCAGTAAGGGACTTAGGAAAAGCTTCCCCCTGGGTAGAGAACATAGTCAACCAGACATCCCCAGAGAGCGGCTTTCTCCGCGGCTGTGGGAAGTGGGAGGCTAGCGTCTCAGCCGCAGCTACACATGGGACAGGATGGAACATTCAGTGCCTGGTGGGAAGAAAAGCATTGTTCATCTGTTTTTGTAACATTGTCATGAACTCCTAGGAAAGTGAAGTCAGGGAGAGCCAAGAGTCAGACGCCGTAACCAGACAGATGAACTCTTAGCCTCTAAATGTCAGGGTCAAGAGGTGAGCAACGGGAATGCTCATTCTGTAGTAATCTGTGTGTAGGTGCTATAAAACAAAAGCACAGACCAAGGTCAGAGCCCCAAGACAGTGAGGAACGGAGAGCTTAGAGAACTGTCTGTTCAGCCCTGAAATGTAAAATCTTACTAAACAATTGGATTTGTAAGGTTCTATGGATCAACTCTATGCTTACACCCATAATTATCAATTATTTACATAACAAAAATCTTATAGGGTTATTGCTTTGTGCTAGGTTCTGGGCACAGCCCTGGTGGTTTGGGGACACTGCCTTTGGTTCTCAGTTTGTTGATAGCTGACCTAGGCTGTGACATAGTATCCACTGTGGCCAGACAAGGATGTTCCCGGTTCCATTAACGGGCACCACACAGAACCTCTCCTCTGCCCTGAGTTCCGACCCCAGGGGCGCTTCTCTACTGTGGCGGGGGTGGGGGTGGGGCAGTACATGAAGAACTTTGTCTTCTGGGTGGACAACAGAAAAGCGCTATATATCAAAGCTCCCCACCCCCTTGCTGTGTTGTTCCCCTTCTTCCCAACACGTGGAAATTTTCCTGGGGCAGAAGAAGGTCACACTCGCATCTAACTTTTAGTTCAGCTTTCTGTCGTGAGATTACCATGGGTTCAGATACAGTTGTAAGGAATAATATTGAAAGATCACAGATACCCTTTTTTCTACCTTGCCCCTATAATAGTATCTTATAAATCTTTGGTATGAATAAATACCATAGTGACATTAGTGTAATCCACTATCTGTTCTGATTTTTCCAAATTTTGCTTCCATACTCTTAAACTTCTTACAATGGAATCACATCTCCCTCAGTTATATCCACCTTATGGTAAGAAGAAAATACTTTAAGTCAAAACTGTGTTTATAATCAAACATCTCCGTGTATTGTAACGTGTGGGGATGGTGTGGTTGACATGGCCCTGTGACTCTCTGCCTCTGCCTAGCCTAGCATGAGAGTGTTCAGCTGCCAACGGCTAGCCCAGGACCAGATTAAAATTCAAAGCACATAGGGGCCAACAAGATGGCTCCATGGGTAAAGGCACTTGCTACCAAGCCTGACACCCTGCATTTGGTGCCCACAATCCTCATGATGGGAGGAGAGAACTGGCTCCGTCTAGCAAGTCATCCTCTGCCCTCCACACACACGATTATGGCGTCTGCTTCCCCCACACAAAAGGAATAGATGAACGTCTTTAAAAACTTAAGGCACCATTTCTAATGAATGCACTTTGCTTTTGTGTCTTTGAAAAGTGGTCAAATTGTAAGCTAACAATTTAAGTCATCATAAATCAGGACCATTCGTACATGCCTCTGTGTGTACTGCTTAGCTCTGAATTATTTAATTGCCTGCATAATTCCACCCAGCCCCACTCCTAAGAGTCAGAATGACTCCATCACTATGGGAGCCCTCATGTGACCCTCCAGGAACCATAGCCATCTCTCGCCTACGACAACCATCCGTTTAGATCCTAGCCACTGGCAACTACTCATCTTCATATTTGTAATTTTATCACCTCGAGGATGCTCTACAAATGAACCCAGGGTGCATGTGACCTCTGGGGATTGGATCTTTTCACTGTGTGTTTTCCAAGCTGCTGCACAAAGGTCGTTTGCTCTTCTGTTGAGTGTGTTCCATGATATATATATATATATATATATATTCACCTGTCGGACACCTGGGCTGTTTCTAGTTTTTGTCGTTATCAATAAACCTGTCGTGAACATTTGTGGATCCATATCTGTATAAACGTGTTTTTTTTTTCCTCCAGGATAAATGCCCAGGGGTGCAATCGCTAGGTAAGATGGTTTTACATATTTCAGTTTTATAAAATCTATCAAACTAATCGGGTTGGTAATCCTAGTAAGGATTTTGAGACAAGGAGGCTCGGAAGTGGAGAATTATAAATTCAAGGTCAGCCTGGGCAACTTGTTAAGAACTTGTTTCAAAAATATAATTTTTTAGAGGGCTGGAGCCACACCTGAGCGGTGGAGCAGTTCCTGGCATGTGTGAGACCTTTGGGTCAACCTTCAGGACCACAAGCAACAAAAGCAAGCAAGCAAGCAAAACAGCTGGCGGGGCTGCTGTCCGAAGAGGCCCAGCCACTGTCCATGTCTGTCAGGGTTGTGTGAGTTACCTGGTTTCTCCACGTCTGTGCTAGCATTCTCTGTTAATAGTTGTTTTGATCAGCCATCTCTTTGGTGTGTGGTGACATCTCCTTGTGGTTTTAATTTGCATTGCCTTTAGAGCTGATGATGTCAAACTGTCAACGTCATGGGCCATGCAGCCTCTTCAGTGGAATGCCTCTCATATCTTTTGACTCATCTTCGTTAGATTGTTAATGTTTTATGGTTTCGTTTTGATAATTCTTTTTCAATTACAAGCTCTTCTTAGAGCCGACTTTCTGGTTAGTGCTATCATTACTTGGATGATATGAGCTGTCTTGTTTATCATATTCATTAGTATATGTAGCAAAAGGCATACCAAACACTGAGTTTTGGGTTGCAAAAAGAGAATTTATGTTTGCACTTGCCTTTTATGTCTTTGTCTACCAGTTACACACACATATTCACACACAGAGACCCACATGCCATACATGCACTCATACACACACATACATGCCATACACACACACACACACACACACACACACACAGAGATGCACACGCTACTACTTTGGGGAATTCTTCATTTTTTTTAACATTAGGTAGATACTTATTTGATCTATAGATGAGTGTTTTGTTGCATGTTTGTGTGGGCATCCACCGCTGGAACAGAAGTTTGTGAACCACAAGGTGGTTGCTGGGAACTGAACTCAGATCCTCTGGAGAAAGCAACAAGTTCTTTTATTCACTCAGCCATTCACTCCAGCTCCTATGTAAAACAAACAAACAAAAAGGCACTTTTGTTTTGTTTTGTATTTTTCCAGACAGGATCTCACTATGTAGCCCTGGCTGTCCTGGAACTCACTACGTAAACCAGGCTAGCATCAAACTCACAGAAATCCTCCTGTTTCTGCCTCCTAAGTGCTGGGATTAAAGGCACACACCCCCACACCCAGCTCTTTGGGGGGGGGATTCTTAATGCATTCTAGATACTCATCCTTGTTAGACACATGGTTATATTAATATTTTCTTTGTCTTTTCATCCTTAACAAGACCGTTCACAAAGCAACAGTTTCAAACTTTGATGAGGTACAATACATTTTTGTTCTTGTTAACATAGCCTCAGGTCTGCAGGAAGGCAGAAGTTGGAGCGGAGCTCCAGAATCTCTGAAGGCTGCCCGTAGAATCTTCTTTGATAACCATTGCTCTTGGGAATCCATAACATGAAATCGTTGTATTGCTTTAGAAGTCCCTGGGAACACTGGAAGGCGAGCTCACCAGCCTGCTGAGTCAGTTGCGGTCTTCCCACTTTGTCGTGTGTGTTTTCTTTTGTTATTTGTGACTCCACTTGCTATTGCCAAGTGGAAGTTTTGGGCTGCTGTGCCAGATCCTTGCTGATCCTCACTAAATGGTGGAAATTGTTTCCTTATAGTCATATGGAATGTGCTGTATCAGAAACTAACTGTAAGAGTGTGCTCATTTGCAGTTGGCAATAAACCAAGCACTTAAAACCAGAGCTTCTTGCTTATAATAGGCCAGGCAGCTTTTGGGCCCCAATCTAAACATTTTTCAAATTTTGCTATCGGCTACGTAGTGGATCATCACGTATTTGCTTTGAGCTATTTGAGTAAACTTTAAAAATATGAATTATTCTTTCTTGTGCTCTATCTCTAAACCTTAAGAAGGACGAGCTCTGGTTTTAGCTTTGTAAATCCCTTCCTCAAAGGGGAGACTTTCTGTATACTTTAGTTAAAGGAAAAGGAGTGGTATTTTCCTTCATAAGAGGCCTGCTTTTCCTCTAACAAATCAGACCTCAGGTACTACCAGACTGAGACACCCTGAGAGGTAGGAGCCACGAGAAGACTGTGCCCTCCCTTGACTTATCTCTGTGTCCAGAATATGACAACCTTGGTCCCCGTAGTGAGTCTGGGGGTGGGGATGGGGGTCACTCAGACTAGATAGGATGCTCCTCATGATATCCTCCCCCTTTTATATTCCAGAGATCAATAGCAGAACCTGTTGCATCAGAGGTGCTCCATAAAATAATTAGAAATTCACCAACTTCAGTAACTATGTGGTATCTCGAAATTCATAACATCCATGGTTCAGAAAATTTTGTTCCCTCTGAGGGTGAACACTATGCTTCTGCCTTGGTTGTTTCTTAGAACTCCACTGTCTGCAAAATAAGTAGATACTGAAAAAATGTTGGGTCCATCCATCTGTCATCCATTCATTATCCTTCCGTCTGCTAAGCATGTCTTGAATACTGGGTTAAGAACTCTCAGGAATAGGCACACTTGTCTAGAAGAAGGCACAGTCCTGTCCTGGTAAACTAGAACTTGAAGGGAATGGAAGTCATTTCCTGAAATATTTAAATAACATAAGACACTGTGGCTTTCAGGATACTTCATGGCCCCATTAGAGATCTCTGTCCATGCTCCCTCCATCTGCACTGCCCACATGCAACACTGGAGGCCGCATTGTTTGGGATTCTCTTAAGTTACATGAGTCAGAAACCTAAGCAAATGCCCTAAGCAAATTGCTCCGCAATTCTGAAAAGAAGGTCTAGGCATGGCTAGGGTGGTGAAGCCACTGCCAAGATGGCCACCAGCAGCCTATTGCCCACCTGTCTGGACAGACCACTTCTAGCTCACCCTGACCTGCTGGATGTGATGGCAGGGTCCATGCCAACTCTGGACAAAGCCTTGGGAGATTTGGCAGTTTGGATTTTGATCTCTTAGAACCTAGCTACCATGAAAAGGAATCTAACTGCCCTCATGCAGAGAGAGGCTGGGCAGGAGAGGCTACAACCAGAAAAGCATTTAGTTAAAAATATATCTGAATGTAAAAATTGGGATAGAGGTTTGGCCAGCTCTCGCCAGCCCCTTCACACCTTCTTATGTAGATGAGCTACACTGGGCATGCTAGCCCCAGCGATGTCACGTGGAACTGAGTAAAGTCACCTCCTCAGGAGGGCTGGCCAAACCTCCGTCATGAACCAGTGCAAAGCAGTTACTGTTACGGGCAAGTCCTTTTCGAGCAGTTTGTCACCGAGCAACAGGTGGCAGGAAAGGCAGCCTCTGGGGCTCCAGTGAGCCAATAGGGAGCCTTCTTCCAGGTCATGGCTTTCCTTTCACAGGGAGGCTCTCCTTGGGAAGGAGCAAGGACATTCATCATGGCAGCAGGCTTATACTTGCCCAGCATAGCGATACCCACTGAAGGCAAATTTCTTTCCCAGCATGGCCAGCCAGACTCATGGCTGACTCTAATTGGCCGTGACTAAGTTGTGTGACCCTTTGGAGCCTGCCACACCTAAACTCTTTCTCTCTCCTTAGGCACTGGTATTGCCTCCAGAAGAAGGGATGGTCTATGTCCTCTTTGGGTCCTCTCCCCAGAGGAAAGCCAGATGGTGATGAATGCCACTTGCTTGCTTTCTTTTCTGGGGAGCTCGCTATTGTGCTATCTAATTTGTATGTTTCTTAAAAATTATTTTGTATGAGAGCCCAGCAGAACAGTTATTGGGCAACTGGCTTATGCAATAAATCTAAAAGGTCTCAGTAAATACATACATAACTTCTTCTGTCAGTTGAGATGAGTGTGGGCCAGAAAGTTTTGCTTTGTCTTTCTCGTTCAGAGTCAGCATTCCATCGTGGACCTCTGAGGAACACGGAGCTGGAGACAGAAATCAAAATGAGATGCCTGCTGGAGCACAGCACACTGGCCTTTCTAAATACACACACACACACATGCACACACACACACACACACACATGCACACACACACACACACAGAGAGAAAGAGAGAGAGAGAGAGAGAGAGAGAGAGAGAGAGAGAGAGAGAGAGAGCGCCTACATAATGCACTTCCTACAGTCCTAAGTAGCTGGGGCTGGGGAGGGGTAGCAAGTCCTTAGGTTTTTTTTTCTAGAAGGATCTTTGAAAGACTAGGTTGACATAATGACCTAGAATGACTCAACAGTAACAGATGACCAAGCTTTATTATTGGCAAGTGTAACTGAGGCTTGTTTGGAAAGGTTCTAGTGACTTCAATTCCAAGCTTAGGAATAAGACTGTTATTTTTTTTTTTCTTGAGAGGGTCTTTCTGCATAGCTTTGACTGTCCTGGAACTCACTATGTAGTGGAGAATGGCCTCAAACTCAGAAACTCAGAGAGTCATCAGCCTCTGCCTCCCCAGTCCAGGGATTAAAAGAGGACATCACAATGCCCGGTGGTTGCCTTTAAATTTTTCATCTTGAAATCTTGTGTGTGCGTGTGCATGCGTGTGCATGCGTGTATATGTTTGTGTATATGTGTGTTTATGTGTGTATGTGTATGTTTGTGTGTTTGTGTGTGTGTATGTGTGTGAATACCAGCAGTCACTTGTTGAAGAGAAGAAAATGTTATATCACTGTCTTCATTTCCCCATCAGGAACTACCCTGAGCGTTAGGTCTACATCGTTTGTGTGTTTCTCAATAATTTTTAGGTTTGTTTTCTTAAATAAGTAAGTTGTTTCCCTCCCTATACTTTAATTTTTAGGTTTTTAATCTCTGTACATTGAACGCAGAGTGTTTGCGGTTTTCTGTGCCCTTCTTTTTTGTTTCCCAGGATTGTTTGTGAAATTCACACCATTTTTTTTTTAAGCAGGGGCTCAGTCTGTGGTGCATGTTCTCGCTTTACTATTTTCTTTCATAGACAGACACACGAATGTTTTTAATGCTGTTACATATTTACGGTTTATGCTTTCAGAAACCTGCTTTTTATGACTTGAGATAAAAATGATCTCCAATTTTATTTTAAAATATTGAAGTTTCTTTTTCTTTGTCTTTAAAAGATAATTTTACATTTATTTATTTATGTGTGTGTATGCACGTGCACACACATGAGCACATGTATATTGTCATAGGGTTTCTATTGCTGTGAAGAGATACCATGACCAGGGCAACCCTTATAAAGGAAAACATTTAATTGGACCTGGCTTATAGTTTAGAGACTTAGTCCATTATCTTGATGGGGCAGACAGGCAGACACAGTGATGGAGAAGGAGCTGAGAGTTCTACATCTTGATCCACAGACAGCAGAAGGGACTGTGTGCCACACTGGGCATAGATTAAGCATGTGAGACCTCAAAGCCCGCCTCCGCAGTGACACACTTCCTCCAGCATTGCCACACCTACTCCAACAAGGCTACACCTCCTAATAGTGCCATTCCCTATGGGCCAAGCATTCAAACAGACTCTATGGGGGCTACACCCACTCAAACCACCACAATCTGTATGGGCACACAGTTGCCAAGGGGCACAAATGAAGGCCAGAGGACAGCTTTCGAATATGGATTCTCTCCATCCACTGTGTGCGTTCAGACTTGCTGATAAGTGTTTACTCTCCAAACCTCATATTTTTGTTTTGATTTGGTGTTTGTGGTTGTTACTGCTCTTTTGTTTTGTCTTAAACTCTTACCTAGCTCTGATTTTTGTGCATGTTGTCAGGTCTGTCTTTTCTTCTTTTGTGAAAAAGGCAAATCATGTCACATGTCCTCAAATTTTTCTTTTGTCTTCAGTCAGATGAAACTCCAAATTCTGAAAATGGCCTGAAAGCCACTGTGGGATCTCATCCGACAGCCTCTCCCACTTCACCCGCTATGTGCTTCTGAGGGGGCATGGTTCTCCTTGCTCTTCCTTGAACTCCCCTCAGAGGTACCTGCTGCAAAACTCTTGACTCCTTCGTCTACATGAATTTCCACATTCCTATAGGTCTTAGTCAGTGTTCCGTTGCTGCAAAGAGACACACGGATCATGTGTAAAACTCATAAAAGATTTAATTGGTGCTTCCTTACAGTTTCCCAGCCTTAGTCCATTGGCACCATGGGAAGCATGGTGACTCACAGACAGACATGGTGTGGAAGAAGTACCTGAGGGGTTTATACTCAGATTCATAGGCATCAGGAAGAGAGCCACATTGCACCTCATGTGGGGTTTTGAAACCTCAAAGCCCACCCCCAGTGACACACCTTCTAACAAGACCACACCCTAAATCTTTTCAAAGCCGCCACTCCCTGATGACCAAGCATTCACTATAGTTCTTTACTGACCCCCTCCCTCCCTAAGTCTCTGCTCAGATATTGTCCTATCACAGTCTTCTCTGGACATCATAACTAAAATCACACACACACACACACACACACACACACA